TCTCTTTTCTTGTCTGCTGCCATGTGAGATGTGGCTTTCACCTTCTGCCATGATTGTGAGGCCTTCCCAGCCGTGTGAAACTATAAATGCAATAAACCTCTTTATTTTGTAAATTGCCCTGTCTCAGGTATGTCTTTATCAGCATTATGAAAATGGACCAATACAGAAGGTGAATCATTTTATCCCCATTTTACAGAGGAGAAAACACTTGTCCAAGAGTGGATCATTCCTTGTCTGATCAGTAGCTCAGAAGATCATAAAGCAATGTCATTGCAAGATCTAGATTTCCAGCAGAACCCTGTTCAGATTCAGAACAAGGCAGCTATCCTGTACATTAAACTACAGGTACCTAGCTCATCTTCAAACATTCCATTGCTTACAGCAATTGGCCAAGAGGCCTGCTCATATTCTTCCTCTTTCTAAGAACTAAGGTAAACAGAAAACAACCTTCCCAAAAACCTTCACAAAAGGGTTAAGCTGTCTTGACAATATTGAAGACAGTTAACAAAACGTAAGACGAAAGTATGATTTTGTGCTTTCTGCTGTAAAATAAAAAGCTACAGCAGAGAGTATTTTTAGCTCTTTCTAGCCTAAAAGGATCTGGATTTGACCAAAGGATCTTAACGTTAAGTCTGGTTTTCAATGCATTGATTAAAACTGACCAAGGTTATAAAAGAAGGTAAATCATTTCCTGATGAGAGAGCCTCCAATATAAACAAAGAGTGCATTCCACACAGCCTGTCATTAGCAGTGGACTGATCCTGATTTCCATGGCTCAATTCTCTCATGACTTTCTTCCTGATTCCAAAAAAGGAAGGAGGACTATGGGAGGTGCCCAGGCCACAAAAAAGACAAAATGGCACCATGCAAAACCTTCATGGGACATCTAGACCAGTAGGGCTTAAAAAACACCTAATATCACATTCAGTCTTTGTATACTGCTTGATCAACAGCAGTCTCAGGATTTCCTCAACAGTTGACCTGATAAAGCTTCCCAAAATGGCATAACTAATGCTACTAAATCCTAATTTAGAATGCAAAAGTAAGTGAAGTTTACTTCCCCTTGAGGTGTACTTTTTAAATATTAAATCTGGTGAGAGCAAAGTAAAATATTATTTGCATACATGGGCAGTTTAATGTTCATCCAAATTTATGTTAGAACTATGCATGTTTGGTAAAGATTACATTTTAAAAAGGCTGGTGTCAAAATAAATTAACCTTCAGAAAAATCTGCATATTTTTCTAAAATCATAAGCTTGAAATAATATTGGAAGCAACTGTTGAATGTTTCTCTACAAGGGTAAACAAGAAAAACGACAAAAATCAAGGTTTAATGTAATAAATCACACCTGCAAATAAGAACAAGGTCAATATTAACACAGAAAGAGATGTCAAAAAAAGCAATTGTTTTTTTTTCCTTCTTTTTTTTTTTTTGGTTCTTTGTTCCCAGACTCAAGTGATCCTCCTGCCTCAGCCTCCCAAGTACTGGCACTACAGGTATGCATGCCACACACACAGCTCATTTTTGTATTTTTTGTAGAGACGGAGTTTTGCCACATGGTCCGGGCTGCTCTCAAACTCCTGGGCTCAAGCAACCCTCCCTCCTCGCCTTTCCAAAATGTTGGGATTATAGACATGAGCCACTGCACCTGCCCCAGAAATCCTACTTTCTTCTTTTTTTTTTTTTTTTTGAGATGGAGTCTCGTTCTTATTGCCCAGGTTGGAGTACAGTGGTGTGATCCAGGCTCACCGCAACATCTGCCTCTTCGGTTCAAGTGATCTCCTATCTCAGCCTTCCAAATAGCTGGTACTACAGGCATCTGCCACCACATACATTTAATTTTTGTACTTTTAGTACAGACTGGGTTTCACCATGTTGGCCAGGCTGATCTCGAACTCCTGACCTCAAGTCCATCTGCCCACTTCAACCTCCCAAAGCGCTGGGATTACAGGCATGAGCCACCACACCCGGCCCAACTAAGCTTTTTTATCAGTTTATTTTGATTGCTCTGCATGTTGGTCACATACATAAGTAATAAACTAGATGCAGCTTCCATGTGGCATTGAGCCTGTAAGCACACAGAAGTCAACAATTGAGGTTTGGGAACCTACAACCCAGTTTGTATCCAATATCTGATTTTATAAGGCGTTAACTTTAGTGGAGAAGCAGGATCACTGTTTTAATATTTCTACTGTTTAAACATTTACAAATGACTACTCAGGAGGTTGAGGTAGGAGGCTTGCTTGAGCTCAGGAGATGGAGGCTGCAGAGAGCATGCCAGCCTGGGCAAAAGAGCAAGACTCTGCCTCAAAAAAAAAAAAAAAAAAATTACAAATGAGTCGACATCTCTCCAGTTGAAAACTAATGCCAAATAATGAATTTCACATCCAGTACATAAAAATGTAAGGAACAGTCGTAATCAGAACTATATTTAGCCGGGCATGGTGGTTCACGTCTATAATCCCAGCACTCTGGGAGACTGAGGCAGGCAGATAACCTGAGGGTAGGAGTTTGAGACCAGCCTGGTCAGTATGGTGAAACCCCATGTTTACTAAAAATATAAAAATTAGCCAGGCGTGGTACACACCTGTAGTTCCAGCTACTCCGGAGGCTGAGGCAGGACTGCTTGAACCCAGGAGGCAGACGTTGCAGTGAACTGAGATCATGCCACTGCACTCCACACTCTAGCCTGGGAGACAAAGTGAGACCCCATTTCAAAAAAAAAAAAGCTATTTAACATCACCTGTGGGTTCTATGGTCTATAGCTTAAGCTACATTTCCAAAGATTTACAAAGACAAACACTGCCCCAAAAAAGAAATGAGCTAAGACAATCATGTTTTACTCTTAAAGAACAGCAAGGACTCAGTGGTTACCAGAATTGATTTTCCACACAGAAAAATTCACCTTAATTTCCAATATACACTACACTGTTCCCCAGTCCACTTTGAAAGACATATACATTTATTTCTGAACTTTCATAGAAAAGAAGAAAAAAGATTTAAAAAATAAGAAGGCACAATATGATAAAATTAACAAACTCAGACAACACCAATTTGGCACCTTAGGAATCCAGATGTTTAGAACTGACGTGTGTCTGCAGCACACCACCTAAACACAAGCATTTATACAGACGTCTGCAGGAGATGGTACAGTATTCTTACCCAGCAAAGCAATGACAGGACTGTAAACTGCTTCATAGAAAAAAAAAAAAAAAAAAAAAAAGTTGTTTCTTAGTAAACAGAAAAAAAAAAAAAATGATGCGACCAACGCAACACTGAAATCGTGACTTCTTTCAGTGGTAATAATAGTCGCAGGCTGCCTTGTTCTGTCTGGCTTGCACAGAACCTCTAGAACCAACCCTGCCTTGGAGCTGGGGTAAAGATGATGCTTTAGGGTTCTGGCACAGAACCAAACTGTAGCCTGTTTGAGGACCGCATCCTTAACTTCAATCTCAGCTTTGTTAAGCAAGCACAAAGCACACCTTGAAGTAAGTCTTCTTTAAACATGGTCTGAACTTAAAACTTCTGCCTAAATCACTCTGACTGCTTACAACAATGAAAATATACGAGCAAGCCTTTGCTTCATTAGGTCCATTCAGATGAGGGCTCAGGATGTAATTGCAATCAAAACTTCACGGATTTCTTTTTTTTCTTTTCCCTTTTTTTTTTTTAAGATGGGGTCTCACTCTGTCTCCCAGGCTGGAGTACAGTGGTGCAATGATGGTTCACTGCAACTTTTGCCTCCCAAGTTCAAGTGATTATCCTGCCTCAGCATCTCAAGTAGCTAGGATTACAAGGGCTTGCCAATACGCCCAGCTAGATTTTGTATTTTCAGTAGAGATGAGGTTTCACCATGGCCAGGCTGGTCTCAAACTCCTGGCCTCACGTGATCTGCCCATCTCAGCCTCCCAAGGTGCTGGGATTACGGGTGTGAGCCACAGCACCCAGCACAAAACTTCATGGGTTTCTCTGTTTTTTTTTTTTTTAGATGGAGTCTTGCCCTTGTAGCCAAGGCTGGAGTACAATGGTGCCATCTCAGCTCACCGCAACCTCCACCTCCCAGGTTGAAGCGATTCTCCTGCCTCAGCTTCCCGAGTAGATAGGATTGTAGGCATGCATGGACCACGCCTGACGAATTTTGTATTTTTAGTAGAAATGGGATTTCTCCATGTTGGTCAGGCTGGTCTCAAACTCCCGACCTCAGGTGATCTGCCCGCCTCGGCCTCCCAAAGTGCTGGGATTACAGGTGTGAGCCACTGTGCCTGGCCTCAACTTCATGGATTTCTTAAAAGCTATTTATAGAACCAACATCTTCTTAGACACAATATTATTTAATCAGATAATAATGCAAGCATAAATAATAATCTCACATGTCAAATTTCTCAGGGTGTAGGTGGAACCATACATAAACATCTATTAAATAGGATTTTTTTTTTTTTTTTTTTTTTTTTGATAGAGTTTTGCTCTGTTGCCCAGGCTGGAGTGCAGTGGTGCCATCTCAGCACAATGCAATCTCTGCCTCCTGGGTTGAAGCAATTCTCCCACCTCAGCCTCCTGAGTAGCTGGGATTACAGGAACCCACCATCACGCCTGGCTAATTTTTGTATATTTAGACAGGGTTTTACCATGTTGGCCAGGCTGGCCTTGAACTCCTGACCTCAAATGATCCACCCAAGTGCTGTGATTACAGGTGTGAGCCACCATGCCTGGCCCAACTCATGGAAAATTTAAATGCCAGAACTACTAGTTCTTTTTCTGGGAAGAGATGCACTACCTCTAGCAATGTTTTCTTTTTTCTTTTTTTGAAGCCTATATTTTTAATACATTTATTTCCCAAAAGGTCAATTTCTACTTTCAAAAAACATCTGAGTCACTTGAGATGAAAAATATTTTATCTAAAAATGTGCTACAGCTCCCAATCACTCCAAACTGACATCCCAAGATAGTAGGCTGTTCCACATTAAGATAACTTGGGAATTGGAACTCTCTGATTACTTACTTGTTAAAAAAAGGTTCAATGAGTTTTGATCTGGCAGACACATGAATTTTTGGAGGACTGAGAAAAGAACCTAATGAAGAAAAGAAGAGAGGTATTATTATTCATAGTCACACAGACCAAGCCTGAAAGTTTAGACCAAACCAGATTTAAAGCAACACCATGATTCAACAAGGGTGAAAGGCACTCTTATGGACCAAGTACCATACCACAGGAAGTGTCAGTGGTTTTCCTTGCCAATTCCCCTTCCCTCATGTCCTCCTACTCCTACCTCAAAATGCTCCCACTTCTAACTGGGTGAGTGGATCCCAAGAAAATGGTAGTGATATAGGTTCAATGTTTGTGTGCCCCTAAAATTCATATGTTGAAGCCTAAACCCCAATAGGATGGTATTTGGAAGTGAGACCTTTAGGAGGTAATTAGGTTATGAGGGAATTAGTGCCTTTATAAGAACTGTCAGGAGGGCAGGTGCGGTGGCTCATGCCTGAAATCCCAACGCTTTGGGAAGTTAAGGTAGGAGGATCGCTTGAGCCTAGAAATTCTAGACTAGCCTAATTAACATAACAAGATTCTGTCTCTATTAAAAAATTTAAAAGTTAGCCAGGCATGGTGGTGCACACCTGTAGTCCCAGCTACCTGGGAGGCTGAGGTGGGAGGATCTCTTAAACCCAGGAGTTCAGGGTTGCAGTAAGCTATGATTGTACCACTGTACTTCCAGCCTGGGTGACAGGGTGAGACCCTGACTCTTAAAAAAAAGAAGAGTAGGCACGGCTTCTGCTGTCTATGCTCTCTACCATGTGACAACACAAGAAGGCAGCCATCTGTAAACCAGAAAGTGGACTATCACTGGATACCAGACTGCTGGCCACTGGGTCTTAGACTTCCCAGCCTCCAGAACTATAATAAATAAATGTCTGTTGTTTAAGTCCCACAGTCTACAGTGACTTATTACAGCAGCCTAAGCCAGGAGATGGGTGAGATCTGTTCTAGATCATGGCCTGTTTGACTGAAACACATGTAATACATACCTAGGTAATTGGCCATGGAGATGAAGCACAGCCCTGTGATGTAGGCATCGTAGCCTGCCTCGTGGAGCATTTCAGACGCTGTGTCATAACTGGGAAAACCTTTGGCACTTTCTAAGAAAAGAAAAGGAAAAAAAAGTTTTCCTCAAAACAAAGACTAGTAAGCACATTGCCCGACCAATTCCAATTGCATTAGTATATGCTACAGAAATATCCTAAATAGGCAGAAAAAAAAGCTATCTATTCCTTAATGCTCTCCATATAACACCTTACAATACAAGCAGAGTCACTGAAAATGACAGCTTTGGTCTGGGATACAGAAATGCCTCAGTTACATCATGAAGAACTCAGCCGTTGGCTTTCTCATCCCACACTGGTGGGTCCTATTTATGATCATGCATAACTCGCTCTAGGACAATTATTCCTCTCTGCTTGCTTTCTAAGGCCATGAAAAGGACATTCTTCCCTTCTACAGGATGGTCACATCAGGACACAACAGACGATTCAGAATAAAGGTTAACAGCATGGGCTCTGGAGTCACAATGAGTTTGAATCTCTGCTCCACTGTTTATTTGCTATATGACCTTAGGCAAGTCACTTTATAGCTAAGCTTCCATTTTTGTAAAACAGAGATAATAATCAAACCTTCTTCAAAAGGTTGCTGGGATCAGATAACATAAGTTAAACTTTTACCTAGTGCTTGATACATGGTAAGCACTCAAAAACTACCTATCAATACCTAAGGTAACCCTCCCCTCAAAAAGCAAAAGATTGCAATTCAATATTGACAGCTCAAATTCACTACTGTCCTCTACTATGTTCCCAAGCTTAGAGATCAAAAGTTGACAGCACAACCAACTCCAAAATTAACTGAACTTACTATAATGCTGGCCTTGGATCCCGAAGCCACTTTACATCAAAGACCATTTTATATATAATATGGTTTTTTGTGACACTGATAAATACAGATGTGACCAGATAAACTCTAACAGAAATGACTTGTTTTAGACTTAATTCTCTACCAGATGCTAACTACTATTGTATATGGAAATAATAAGCTAAAACAATAACTCATAAATAAGTATTTCCTAGAACCATTCTGGAAATAAATTTCAGGGAGGTTGCAACACAGAATCAAAAGCATGAATGGAAATTAACAATGAAAAAACTGGAACTGTTTGTATATCAGTACAATGTTCCTTAAGCAAGAATTCTTTAACTTCTGTAAGTATATTAGACTTGATGTCTTTTTTTAAAAAAAGGCGTTTAACATGATAGCCACCTAGGTAATATCTTCCACTCCATCATCAACCGAAACACATTCTTTCCAAAATCAATTATTTCCATTATACTGCTATAGAAAAGGTCTAGGTTTTCTCCCCCCATGGCCCCACCACCACTTTTCTTAATTCTTTTATTGGACTGTTACCCAGAAAGAGGCAAATTATTGTAATGTTGGCTGCTTTAATACCCTGCATTATCAATTTCTAAACCATTAGTCCTATTATCCATGTCTTTAGCAGTTTTCAGGCTACAGCTAATGGCTCCGTAATCGCCACATGGGCAGCACAATTAGGCTAACAGGGACTAAGGAAGCAGCACCTGGAAGGTTTTCTGCATACCTGAGTATGGCCAGAGGTGGCAAAACACCTCCATCTCATCTCCCTACTTCTGGTTTTCCTCAGTGCTGCTGTTTCTACTATCTAAACCAGCTGAAAAGGAGGCAGGGTGAGGACTTGCCTTAATCTCATCTGTAAATCCAGTTCTTGGGCTTTTCTGAGACAGAAAATATATTTTTTACTCTACTCCTGGTGATTAATTGCTAGCTCTTCTTCTCTGCTTAAACGATGTATCAAAGAAAAGAAGGGCACATCAAGTTTTAGGAGAATTCCATAAATCAAGAAATAAAAGCCTTGAAGCTTTAACTGCTAAAATTCTCAATGAATGGCTATCCAACTCCATTAACATAAAATAGATGTAGAAGTAAAAGACCATCTCTATTTAAAAAACAGTAATTCAGCACAAGGTACGTGCAAGTGAATTCAGCCAAAATCTATAAATGAACAATATGGTTTCCAGAGCCATTCTGCCTTTCTTCTACAATATACATCAATAATTACTACAAAGAATTTAGAGGCTTTCAGATTTGTTTAATATTCTTACCAACTTTAGGAGGGTTGAAAGGTGTCTCTTTTAACCGCTTTTCCAATTCCGCAAGGGATGTGTTGTTAATAATATCCTGCAAACCAGGAAGCAAAGAATTATGAGACTTCATCACCTCAGTACAATATATACTAAAGAGATTCACTGACCCAAAAAAATAAATAAATAAATAAAAAGGCAGCAGCTAGTACTGCCCCCTTGTGTTCTTTAAAGAAACACAGAAGTCTTCATTTTTTTTCGATGTGAAAGAGAAGTAGCTAGTTTAATTTTTATAATACACAAAGTATAACCAAATGAACAAAGATTTTTACAGATGCATTAAATACCTCCAAACTTTTGCCAGAAGGCTACACTGTTCTGGCATTCATTTCACTCAGTAAAATGCAGTCACTTTATAAAGCAGCAAATGAATAATACCTTAAAAGGTTGTGTGCTGGCCATCAGTTTAGTATCCAAGAGTCTAAAAAGAATTTTTAACAAGGTAAACAAAATGTTTATCAATGTTTGAAACATCTTTTACTCAATATGTAAGCTACTTAAAATACTTAATACATAAAATACATACTTAAAACATAAAATAATACATAAAATACTTAAACACAGACAAAGGAATTAAACACATTGGCCGTTTTGAACCCAGCACCAGCATCCCTAGTATGTCGGGGTAGTTACTCGGTCCCATCCTCAGAGACTTCATCCAGTGATTGCAGGAGAGTCCACACCTGGCGTACAAGTTCCAGATTCACCGGACCCTGAGAAAGCCCAGGCTCCATCAATCTCAAGTGTGAGTCAAATACTCTCACATGGTTTAACATGGTTCAAATACTGCTGCCAGTCTACCATTCCCTGCTACCATTTACTGCTACTCTTCAGGTTTGTAAACTATAAATTCTTCTGGAGGGCCAAAATCTGCAATCAGTACTTTCATGCTGTTGTTTTTATTTCTTATTATTCCATTTCAGAGATCAGAAATATTAAAAAAAAAAAAAAAAAAAGCAGGGGGGAGAAACTCACACAAAAACCCTATTTCTCTATTTTTTTCATATAAACGTGAACACAGTAGGTAAAAGGAAATAAGCCAGCTGAAAGAGCAATTGCTTGAATACCACGCCTATCCCTCTTCAACAGGTCCTAAAACACCAACACTTGTTCTGTAGGCTCCACATGGCTGACCTATTAGGTCTTAGAGATATGTGACATGTGACCTATTAGAACAAAGGTGCAATAACTGTGGAAAACATCAACAGAAAAAGGCACTGACTTGAAGTGGATAAAATACAATCTCTAGCCAGACAGACAGTTCTTGACTGACTCTTGAGCACTCTCAATTGGACACTTCAATAGTTACAGGGTACATCCTACATGTAAGACAGACAGAGCCATGTCAAGGATACTTCACCACTTCTTAAGACAGCAAGATGAGGGATAAGAAAAAAGGAGTTGCTGTCTACTTTCACTCTCAGTTCAAACTGTGATTTTTCAATAACAAAACCAGTCATGAATTATAAAAGCAAGCCATCACAACATTGGAAACAGTAAATAAGTCCCAGGCTTATATAAACTGGACTCTAATCATGACCTAATGGTTTTGACAAATCACAAATCACTATATGCCTATTTGTATTGTACATGTCACGAGGAATCTTTTTTATTTTTATTGTTTGGAGACAGGATCTCACTGTCACCCAGGCTGGAGTGTAGTGGCACTATTACAGCTCACTGCAGCCTAGACCTCCTGGGTTCAAGCAATTTGCCCACTTCAGCCTCCCGAGTAGCTGGACCACAGGTATGCCATCATGCCCAGCTAAGTTTTTATTTTTTGTAGAGATGGGTTTCACTATGTTGCCTGGGCTGGTACTGAACTCCTGGGCTCAAATGATCCTCCCACCTCTGCCTCCCAAAGTGGTGTGATTATAGGTGTGAGCCACCACGCCCTGCAGACTCTTTTAAACAACACAGCGTGCTTACCTGGGGAAAACACATGTTGTCATCTCTTTAAACTCATTTAAGTCCTAAAGAACAAGAGAAGGACTTGTTACAATTTTCCTAATACACTCACAGTATTAAAAAAACATGTAAACAGCTCAAGTTCCATAGCTGTCCTCTCAAACAAGCTATTGGACCTCACGAAGGCCTTAAGCTAAACTAGAAAACCCCCTTCTAGTTAATAAGCACTGAAAAAAAAAAAAAAAAAAAAAAAAAAAAAAAAAAAAAAAAAAAAAAAAAAAAACACTTCCCAATTTCCTCACTTATTGGGAACCATACAACCTGATAACTAACTTCTGCATAACCAAAACACACGAATTTAAGGATTCAATAGTTGAAATTGGGAAGGGGCAGAGGGGAGTATCCAATAATATGTATAAGAAACTACATATATGAGAGGCCTATAATAACTCCAGAAAACTTCCAATAACAGCTAACAGGCTATGATCTACCACACAAATTTAATAGTGAGACAAGCAGAGTCATTTAAATTAAATGGTTTATACAGGAAATGGGCATACTGCAAACTAGCTTAGAGCTTTACTGAGATCACCTATGAAACATTAGTAAAAATGGCCATGGAAACATACGCCTTTCAATACACATACGATTCCTGTTTCAACTCCAGAAAATTGCTAAAGTGGCACTAATAGCAAGTGCCTATATTAGACAATTCATTTCTCAAGTTTATTTTGATCAGGGAGTCTAGGGCTGAAATGAGAGTGCTCTAATTTTGAATTAACTCATTTACATACACAATTGCCATATTAGACTAAGTAGTCATACTCCTGACCCTTTGTAAACTACACTTCTCTTCACTGTTTATTCATGCTTCATAGGAAACTGCTGTTTCCAATTAGCTTTTCAAGCCTGTATATACAGGCTGTATTTAGCTAGCTTGATATACTCACCAGCTTTTCAATGGCTACAGTTAAATTAATGGGCAAAGCATGAACTAGAGGTTTCAATGCAAAGTCAAAAAAAAAAAAAATGCAATAATGACTGTTTGTAATCTCTCAATACCACTAGAAAGCTTTACAAGCAAGGAACAAGGAGAATTATAGCCACCTCCAGGGTCAACATATAGCACAGTTCTACACTAATGCCTCCTAAAAGATGGTTCATAAGAAAACACTCTCCCTTAAAAGGCAACTCCAAAATGTGGATTCTTTAGTGTCCTTTTAAATGCAAATTTTAATACCAGTATATGTAAGAGTTCTACCTTTTTATCGAGTCAGGGTCTCACTATGCTGCCCAGACTAGCCTTGAACTCCTAGATTCAAGCAATCCTCCCATAAGAGCCTCTCAAATAGCAGGCACGGCAGGTATCCACCACCACATCCAGCTTTCTAATTTATTAGGCTTTCTAATTTATTCTCATCACTTCTTCTCAAGGTAGACAGGAAAAAAAAAAAAAAAAAAAAACATTTTCTCTCTCTGACAGTGCCAGCACATAAAGAAATTAAGTGACTTACCCAGGTAGCCTTAGTAATAAAGTGAGGGATAAAACTGCTTATCCTGATCCACTTACACCTCTACAACAAATCACTTGCTCTTTCTACCAGAATTTAATTCAAGACCAGTTTCACTGCATTTAACATTCATTAATGTTACATGTGTTACACACAATTTGTTATGTTAGGCACTTACACACAGACAACAAAAAGGCTGCACTCCTTATCCAAGGTGCTAACCACCTAGAGGGGGTTATGTTGTATAATACAAGACAAAATGTACGTTAACATACAGAGGTACAATGTTTTGTGGGAGCTCAGAGAAAGCAAAGAGCCCCTCTTGGGCAAGGTAGCAGACAACAAAAACTTTATAAAGGAGGCAAACGCTGCCCCACAGAAAGTTAAAGGAAAGTTGTGAACAGGAAGTATTGAGAACAACGAGAGAAAATTCAAGTTGGAAGAAATTATACAAAGCACCTCTCAGGGAACAAATAAGCCAGTCTTGGAAAAAGGAGAGTAACAAGAGATAAGACTACACAGAAGGGCTGGGCTAGATCACAGAAAGCCTGATATGCAGGGGTTAAAAACAGTCAACTGGCTAGAAAACAAAGAGCGTGGGATTAATTTAGAATTTTCAGCAGGGTCAGTGACAGAAACAGAGCCATACATCAGAAGATTACAAAACTGGCAGTCGGGAGATACTTCATTCATTAAATTGATATTTAATGCCTTCTAGTGCCAAGTTCTGTTTGGTATTCAAAACATGGAGAAGCACAGAATTAAATACATTTTCCTCTTTCCTTGCTGATAACTTGATTGCTTTAAAGGTCAAAAAGAGCCGGGCGCAATGACTCATGCCTGTAATCCCAGCACTTTGGGAGGCTGAGCGGGTGGATCACTTGAGGCTGGAAGTTCTAGACCGGCCTGCCCAACATGATGAAACCCCATCACTAATAAAAATATAAAAATTAGCCAGGCGTGGTGGCAGGCGCCTATAATCCCAGCTACTTCGGAGGCAGAGGCAGGAGAAACGCTTGAATCCGGGAGGCAGAGATTGCAGTAAGCCAAGATTGCGCCACTGCACTCTAGGCTGGGTGACAGCGCAAGACTCCATCTCAAAAATAAATAAATAAATAGCTCAAAAAGTCAAGGGGAGCTGCTACTTTGATCTACTTGGCCAATAAGAAGTGGGTGATGAGGCCAGGTGCGGTGGTTCACACCTATAATCTTAGCACTTTGGAAGACTGAGGTGGACAGATCTCTCTTGAGCCCAGGAATTTGAGGCCAGCCTGGGAAAATGGTGAGATCTCATCTCTATGAAAAATACACAACAATTAGTCAGGCATGGTGGCATGTGCCTGTGGTCCCAGTACACAGGTGGCTACGGTAAGAGTATCATCTGAGCCCAGGGAGTTGAGGCTGCAGTGGACCATGATCGCGCCACTGCACTCCAGCCTGAGTGACACAGTGAGACAATGTCTCAAAGAAGGAAAAAAAAATGGTCAAGCATGGTGGCTCATGCCTGTAATCCTAGCACTTTGGGAGGCCAAGGCAGGCAGATTACCTGAGGTCAGGAGTTTGAGAATGGCCTGGCCAACAAGGTGAAATCCCCTCTCTGCTAAAAATACAAAAATTAACCAGGCATGGTGGCACATGCCTACAATCACAGCTACTTGGGAGGCTGCGGCAGGAGAATCTCTTGAACCCAGAAGATGGAGGTTGCGGTGGGCCACGATTGTACCACTGCACTCCAGCCAAGGTGACAGAGTGAGACTCCATCTCAAAAAAAATAAAAGGAGTGAAAGAAAACAGAAAAATCAAAAAGTGTGGGTGACATAAAATAAACATTAGCTCATTAGACTTAAGAAATGCAAATCTAGGCCAGGCGCAGTGGCTGACGCCTGTAATCTCAACACTTTGGGAGGCTGAAGCAGGTGGATGATGTGAGGTCAGGAATTCGAGACCAGCCTGGCCAACACGGTAAACCCTGTCTCTACTAAAAATGCAAAAATTAGCTGGGCATGGTGGCGGGTACCTGTAATCCCAGCTACTAAGCAGGCTGAGGTAGAAGAGTCGCTTGAGCCGGGGAGGCAGAGGTCGAAGTGAGCAGAGATCGTACTACTGCACTCCAGCCCGGGCCACAGAGCAACAGTCAGTCTCAAAAAAAAAAAGAAATGCAGTTCCACACCTGTCACACCTGTTTTAAGACTCACAACTATGATGTCTTCAAGTCCTAAACTGTGTTAGAAGGTGATAGAGCTGTCATATAAAGTGATGACAACCCAAGTTTGCAGAAATACAACATGGGGAGCTACTGACCTACTCATGGCTACGGTGTACTGCACTTTTTTAAAGCGGGTAATCAAAATCCTGATGGAACAATGGGACCTAAAAAACGTGAAGTAACTGAAGGTTTGCAGAAGTAAGTGAGACTGAACTCTCAAGCAGATGTCTACCAATTCAGAAATAAAAGATTAATCTGGCTGGGCATGGTAGTATGCTCCAGTAGTTCTAGCTACTCAGGAGGCTGAGGCAGGAGGATTGCTTAAGCCCAGCAGCTTGAGATCAGCCTGAGCAACAGAGTGAGACCTCATCTCTATTTTATTAAAAAGATATGGGGAAAAAATTGTTTTTTTTTTTTTAAAGAAGAAAAGAAAAAGATTAGTCCAGTGACGTACTATATTGTCTATAGGCCAAATACGGCCCCACCAACTCTTTTTTAAATAAAGTTTTATTGCAACATGTTTACATATTCCATGGCATTTAGAGGCGACAATGGCAGAGCTGAGAGCTGTGACAGAACCTATACAGCCTGAAAAGCTGAAAATATTTTACTATCTGGCCCTTTATAGAAAACATGTGCCAACTTCTAGTTTAAAGGATGGGCTGAAGATTGAAGAGGGACAATAAATCCTACATGGAATTTGCTAAACTCAGAGGTGAGAAATAAGGTCGATTGCAACAAAAATGAAAAGCATCCAGATGTGAGAGAGGGCATGGAGATAAAATCACCAGGATTTTGTATATGACCAGATCTGGGGACAGAGCAACAGTCAAAACTAATGCTAAAAACAGTGTTGGTAACTGGGAATCACTTATAGTAATGGGATGAGGAGAAAGAAGTGGTTTGGAGACAGTAAAAAAGAAAAGAAGTACAAGTTAAATATCTCATTTGAGACATATCAATTCGAAACAACACTTAGTCTGGGGGGTATTCACATAGGCATGTTTAGAGTCCAGCATGAAATGTATACCTGGATCTGAAGAGAGACCACAGCTGGGGATAAAGATGTTGGTGTCTACAGCTGAAGCAGTAAAGTGAGTGAGATCACTAAAAGAAAAGACGAAGAGGAAATAAAAGAGAGTGGAGTACACAGTGACAGGGGACAAGTAACACGAAGCCACAAACATCACATAGAGCAGAAGAGGGACAGCTAGCAGGGGAACCAAAGCAGCTTGTGCTTTGGTCAATCGAGACAACTCGGCTCAAAGACTTAAAAAAGCACTACTGAGGTCAGCAGAGAATCTAAGGGAAGCAACCTAGCAGGGACGATCAACAATTCTATAAGACTGGATCCAGTTCAGCTGCCACCACTTGTCTTCAATGGCCCTGCTATGTCTAATTTTAGCAGGACCAAACTAGCAGCCCACATCTGTGGCCTGGGAATCCCTGTCCAGCACTAAATTAGCAAACCACTGGCATTAAAATGATGAAACAAACGTTTACTCTACCTCTAGCAATGGCAGTGGCTGAAGATTCCTTAATAAAAAAGCTTGTAGGTACAGTTTGTTAAAAAGGTGCTACTGAGGCCAGGTGCAGTGGCTCATCCCTATAATCCCAGCTCTTTGGGAGGCCAAGACGGGTGAATCACCTGAGTTCAGGAGTTCAAGACCAGCCTGGCCAAAATGGCAAAAACCTGTCTCTACTAAAAATGCAAAAAATACCTGGGCATGGTGGCAAGCGCCTGTAATCCCAGCTACTTGGGAGGCTGAAGCAGGAGAATCACTTGAATCTGGAAAGTGGAGGCTGCAGTGAGCCAAGATCATGCCACTCAACTCCAGCCTGGGCAACAGAGTGAGGAAAAAAAAAATATATGTCTCAAGAAGAAAGAAAAAATGTGCAACTGAGTGCATAAGATTCTCTCCCTGGGAACATGTTGCATACTAGGAAATGGCACCCACGCAGAGAACAGTTTCTCCATAAAAAGCATCATAATAATATTTTCTCAGATATAAAGCATTTTGCTATTATTGAACAGAGACTGACAGGTCACTTACCGCAGGCAGAGGGCAGTAGAATTGATGAACTGTGTGCATGACGTCCAAGAGCATATTGTGTCCAATAACAAGTTTTCCCTAAAAAAAGGCAAGGTTAGAAAAAAGAATTCTACATTCAAAATTATACTGGGGTTGAGAATAAAATGTATACTTCAGATTCCAAGAGGACTTTGTACTAAACTTGCTTTCTACACTTAAAAAAAAAAAAAAAAAAAAAAAAAAAAAAAACAACTCATGCTTCAAGATTCAGATCAAATGCCACTTCTTCAATAAACTTCTCCCTAAAATATGATATAACACAAATAAAAAAAAAAAAAAAAAAAAGTAAAAATAAGTAAACTTGGGCTGGCTTCATTCCTCCTCAAATTTGGAATCCAAAGGCAAAGTGAAAGCTCCAAATGACTTTGATGTCACTGATCTTTTTCTGAATTTTTATTAATTATGCCACCCTCACTGAGTCAGAAGTAGTAAAATTTTGATGGAAAAGCTTTATTTTTTTTTAAAGTAAAATCTAGCGAGATACGATGGCTCACGCCCGTAAATCCCAGTACTTTGGGAGGCCAAGGCAGGCGGAGCACAAGGTCAAGAGATCGGGACCATCCTGGCCAACACAGTGAAACTCTGTCTCTACTAAAAAAAAAAATACAAAAATTAGCTGGGCGTGGTGGCACGTGCCTATAATCCCAGTGACTCATGAGGTTGAGACAGGAGAATCACTTGAACCCAGGAGGCAGAGGTTGCAGTGAGTTGAGAGCGTGCCACTGCACTCCAGCCTGGCAAAAGAGCAAGACTCCATCTCCAACAACAACAACAAAAGTAAAATCTGAAAGCACTGACTCCCTTGAACTGTCAAATAATTTGGGAACAAAACTAAATATAAATTTTAGGACTGTACCCTTTAAGACAACCCACTTCATAAGATACATTCATAACAATGCTAAAAGGTAAAAATAACTAATTTCTAACTATATTAAACAGAACTGCATTTCCTATATCACTATGTCAAAATTCATGGGGCATGTTCTTAAATACATTTCCAATAAAAGTCACTGCCTTTCAATCAACTGAAATACAATATATGTGCTGGCAGCCCTCTTCGTACAATGGGCAACAAATTAGACCATTTTGATAAAAATTAAATTAACAAAATGGAACATCAATATAGATTTAGTCAGCCAGGTGACACCATTTTAACATAAAACATCAGGTTACCACAATAGAGCTTTTTCCTATGTCCCAAAGGACGTTCAGTGTAACACTGCTTGACTCAAGGGACTACACATCAATTATCTGAAATAAATAATCCTACACAAAATCTCCCAAATCTAACAGAGAAGCTGTCCTTTTGGCTCAGTATTGGTTCTGAATACCTATGCTATGCTAAAATAATGAGGATTGATTGAAACCACAGGAAAGATGTGTAGGCAACCCCAATGGAACGCAAACACTAATAAATGAACCAAACTGTATTATAAATGATTACTATAACCACACTGAAGGTTAACAAGAAACAAACTAACATGGAAAAGTGCATCGTGACTAGATACTGTAAGGCTAAAAACAAACAAAATTGCATATAAATCATAAATGTTATAATCTCATCAATAAATGTACTTCTTGCAAGGTATGGGTTAGTAGCTCTGAAGCTACTTTATGTGTATACCAGGTTTAAACAGATAAACATAATGGAAGTAACAGGAACTGATTTCTCACTGTTGAGAGAGAAGGTAAAAATAAGAAAAGAGAAGAAGCTAAAAATAAGCCACATGTTATTATTGTACTAAAATCTGAGTTATCAGTATAAAGGCACGGATACACATACCCACAAATATGCACACACACACACACACACACAAACACACTTATTTATTTAGAGACTGGGTCTCACTCTGTTGCCCAGGCTGTAGTGCAGTGGCACCATCATGGCTTACTGCAGCCTCAAACGCCTGGACTCAACCAATCCTTCCAGCTCAACCTCCCTTGTAGCTTGGGACCACAGATATGTGCCACAAGCATAGCCACTCCTGGCTAATTTCTTAATTTTGTTTTTGGAGATGAAGCCTGGCTCTATTGCCCAGGCTGCAGTGCAGTGGAACAATCTCTGCTCACTGCAACCTCCGTCTTCCAGGTTCAAGAGATTCTCCTGCCTCAGCCTCCTGGGTAGCTGGGATTACAGGTGTGTAACACCACACTAGCTAATTTTTGTATTTTTAGTATAGACGGGGTTTCATCATGTTGGTCAGGTTGGTCTCAAACTCCTGACCTCAAGTGATCTACCCACCTTGGCCTCTCAAAGTGCTGGGGTTACAGGCGTGAGCCACCACACCCAGACAATTTTTGCATTTTCTGTAGAGACAGGGTCTCCTACGTTGTCCAGCTGGTCTTGAACTACTGGGCTCAAGCAATCCTCTCGCCTTGGCCTCCCAAAGTGTGGGATTACAAAGTTGAGCCACCATGCCCAGCTACATACACATTTATATAGACCCACACACACATACATATACAAACAGACACAGAAATATAGCTGTGTGTGTACACGCCTAGTTCTACATACATATGGTTCTTAACTGTGTCTAGTGAGAGGGCTTAGAAGCACTTATATCCCAGCCGTAACCTAGGGCGAGATCTTGGTTTCTAAATATCATTCCTATTAAAAGGAACCAGAGATTGGGCACACTGGCTCACACTTGTAATGCCAGCACTTAGGGAAGCCAAGGTGGGTGGATCACAAGGTCAAGAGTTCAAGACCAGCCTGACCAACATGGTGAAACCCCTTAACAACTAAAAATACAAAAATTAGCCAGGCACGTGCCTGTACTCCTAGCTACTCGGGAGGCTAAAGTGGGAGAATTGCTTGAACCAGGGAGGTGGAGGTTGCAGTGAGCCAAGATCATGCCACTACACTCCAGCCTAGGCAACAGAGGAAGGCTCCCGTTTCAAAAAACAAAAAAACAAACACACAAAAGGAACCAGAGCCCAATGGAGAAGTAATTCATTCCACAGCTGAGCCAGAGAAACTACAAGAATACTAGAAAGCAAGGAAGTGCTCAGAAAAGAATGGGGGCTTGTTGGAAGGACACAAGAGCCACTCCAAAGATGGTACAATTTAAGCAACAAAGCAAACAGTAAAAATACGAGATAAGAATCTGTAGAATTTTTAAAAATCCCTGAGTCCATACTCATATACATAACAACAATAGAATAAACAGGGGAAAGGGCTGGATGTGGTGGCTTGTATCCATAATCCCAACACTTTAGGAGGCTGAGGCCAGGGAGACTGCTTGAGCCTAAGAGTTCAAGACTAGTTCAAGACAACATGGGGAGACCCCTCTTTTCACAAAGTATATATAAGTATATATAAAAGTATATATAAAAAATTATAAGTATATATAAAAAATTAGCCGCCTGTGGTAGCACACGCCTGCAGTTCCAGCTACTCGGGAGGCCACGGTGGGAGGACTGATTGTGCCTGGGGAGGCAGAGGCTGCACTGAGCCAGTATATTCCCACTGTACTCCCAGCTCAGGCGACAGAGTGAGACTCTGTCTCAAAATTAAATAAATACATAAATAAACAGGGGAAAAGGACATTTTTTCTTTACATAAGAATTCCAAGAACAAATGTATAAAGGACAAAGGGAATACAAACTTGCCATTAGTTATCACAACAGTGATAACTGCCGCAGACAAGATACACTGACAGATGACAACGTTAGTAGGCAAGGTTTGGTCTCAAAGTATCTCCCCCAAGATATTTATTAACTATAAAGTTAAATGAACCATATAGTTAATTTAACTATAATTTAACGATATAGTTAATTTCACCTAACACAAATCTAGCAGATATCACCTTCACCAAGTGATCAAGATCAACATCGACCATCATTTCTGTGGTATTTTTGCCAAACCATATATCCTCAGTTCAGTCAGGAGAAAACGTGAGACAATTTCCAACTGGGGTACTTCTAACAATACAGCAATCAATACACATCAAAAAAATCCAAGTTATAGGGCCAGGCGCAGTGACTGACGCCGGTAAACTCGACACTTTGGGAGGCTGAGGCGGGTGGATCACTTGAGGTCAGGAGTTTTAGCGAGACCAGCCTGGCCAACATGGTGAAACCCCATCCCTAGGAAAAATACAAAAAAATTAGGTGTGGTGGTGTACGCCTATAATCCCAGTGACTCATGAGGTTGAGACAGGAGAATCACGTGAACCCAGGAGGCAGAGGTTGCAGTGAGCTGAGATTGAATAATTGCACTCCAGCCAAGGAAAAAGTGCGAGACTCCATCTCAAAAAAAAAAAAAAAAAAAAGTGTCAAGGTTATAAAAGACAAAGACAGACTGTTAAAGTCTGCAGGAGATTAAGTAAAAATAATAAGGAAATGCAATGCGGGATTCTGGATACAATCATGAACAGAAAAAGGACTTCGTGTGAAAAACTGGGGAAATTCAAATAAGATCTTTAATTCACAATATTGTACCAATATTAATTTCCTGGTTCTGCTAACTGGACTATGGTTATGTAAGATATTAAAATTAAGGGTAGCTAGGTAAGGAATATATGGAAACACTGTACTATTTCTGGAACTTTTCTGGGAGTATAAAATTAACACAACATAAGTTTTTTAAAAACTACAGAAAACACAGATATACTAACAGTGACTGAAAGGAATTTGGTGTGACATAAATTTTTTTTAATTTTTTTTTGGCATAGGCATTACTGGCCAGATGGTGTAATATAAATATTTAAGTGTTTACTGCTCACTGCCTTTACAGAGATTAACCATATTAATAATTTTAAGGTAGCCTCGGCACGATGGCTCACGCCTGTTCCCAGCACTTTGGGAGGCCGAGGTGGGCAGATCAGGAGGTCGGCAGTTCAAGACCAGCCTGAGCAACGTGGTGAAAACCCGTCTCTACTAAAAATACAAAAATTGGCTGGGCGCAGTGGCTCACACCTGTAATCCCAGCACTTTGGGAGGCCAAGGCTGGTGGATCACAAGGTCAAGAGATCAAGACCATCCTGGCTAACATGGTGAAACCCTAATTCTACTAAAAATACAAAAAGTTAGCCAGGCGTGGCGGCAGGCACTTGTAATCCCAGCTACTCGGGATGCTGAGGCAGGAGAATTGCTTGAACCTGGGAGGCGGAGGTTGCAGTGAGCCGAGACTGCATCACTGCACTCCAGCCTGGGCAAAAGGGCAAGACTCCATCTCAAAAAATAATAATAATAATAATAATTTAAGGTATGTGATTTACACATCTTATTTTACTTTGGTCCACTTTTATTCAAGACTCAAAAATTTTAAATGTCTGGATCACTAATAAGTGGGGCTTTTTTGTAGTATGCTTTGGGATGTTGACTGCCAGTGGTCAGCAACATGTTACTAATATGCTGTAGAAGAAAGATGTCAGAGAAAAGCAAACAAGTACAGCAAGCTAAGGTATCTGAATGTGTATAAGGTAAACAAACATCCAATCTTGGAAAAGCCGACTAAACTATCATGACAGCTATAAGAGAGCTCAAAACCAACTGATGTTCCATTGCTCTGTACCCTGGCTCAATCAAAACCACCACTTATCTGAAGTCTGCTGGCTAGGTGTGTACAACATGAGCAAATGGAACCAGAAACTCAACTCTACTTCTCTGAATACCTGTAATCTTAGCCATTGATAAAGAGGCTCACACCTTTGTTTCTCTCCAGATCTATCCAAATTTCTTTAATCCCAACACTTTGGGAGTCCAACGCGGGAGGATTGCTTGAGCTCAAGTACTCGAGACTAGCCTGGGAAACAGGGTAAAACCCCATCTCTACCAAAAATACAAAAATTAGCCCAGTGTGGACGTGCAGGCCTGTGGTCCCAGCTACTTGAAAGCCTGAGGTGGAAGGATCATTGCAGCTCGGAAGTCAAGGCCACTCTAATCACCCCCACTTACTTGACTGAGCGAGAGAGGGCCTCATGAGTAACACTCTTCTTTTACAAGGCTCTGTAAACCTCTGTTTATCCCGGCATGAGGACAGCAGGGTGCCTCCCCTCCAGTGCCCCTGTGTTTACAAGCCTGCACCTGGCAGTGAGACAGCATGGAACTCTGAGAGAGTTTCTATGGCTTTAAAGCTTCCCTGACATAAAGCTTAACATCTAAGGTACAAGATGATTCCTTCTTCCAGGTCACCTGCTCAAAGAAGAGAATGTCCTACACTACAGGCAATTCAGCATCCAAACAAGCTGGCTGTCTGAAACAACAAGCAACATGACCCAGTTTACCTACGTAAGATTTGGATACCTGTTTCTTTTTTTTTTTTCTTTTGAGACAGGATCTCGGTCTGTCACCCAGGCTAGGGTGCAGTGGCACAATCATGGCTCACTGCAGCTTTAACTTCCCAAGCTCCAGCAATCCTCCCACCTTAGCCTCCCAAGTAGCTAGGACCACAGGCATGCACCACCACACACGGCTAATTTTCGTATTTGTGGTAGAGACGGGATTTCACCATGTTTCCCAAGCTGGTCTTGAACTCCTGAGCTCAAGCAATCCACCTGTATTGGCTCCCTAAGGTATTGGGATTATAGACATGAGCCACCATGCCTGGCCATCTGTTTTCAGAAAGGCCTCACAAAACAAGGAAAAACACCTACCGTATCTATCATAGAGCACCCTAGCAAATTTACATAAACGGCCAATATCTTTTGAAAACTTATCAAATATTATTAAGAATAAAATTCAGGCCGGGCGCGGTGGCTCAAGCCTGTAATCCCAGCACTGTGGGAGGCCGAGGCGGGTGGATCACGAGGTCAAGAGATCGAGACCATCCTGGTCAACATAGTGAAACCACATCTC